AGATGTTGGATCCATACAGCAGACTAAATCAAAACAAAAGGAAGTACATTACTGTGAAGGGGCAAAGTGCAAACCCAGCCATTATTTCACAGCTAAATCAATTTCCCAGAGCAACCATTATTAAGCAAAAGTGAGAGGAACATATAAGGTGCCCTGCGACACTTGGAGTAAGAGTAGGTTTAAAATAATTAAACCAATAACATATTGCCTGTCTCAGGATCTAACACCATTGCATAATATATACAGATAAAACTATATACAGACACAATTTATGCGGCACAATCTCTTGTATTAAATATGCTTTGCCCTAGTCCAATAGTCTTCTCTATAAATATCCAAAGTCAGGCAAGTATGTGAGTCTCTTGACAGCTGCATCTAATTGCTTACCTTTATTAGTAAAGTGCCATCAAGTAGACATCACAGATGACTCTCTTTCTATTGCCTTTGAAATCCCTTATGTTTGGGTCAACAAAGCTTCCTTTTTTTGTTTGTTCATAGATGCATACAATGGTAGGCCACAGCATTACTTCCATTATGAATATGTACTTGCTCAATTTTTTATGAAACTTTGAAATAAAATTATCCCATGCAATTACATCTGGGCTAAATAGTAAGATATATATGAACATTAAGAGTGAAAAATCACTTTTCAACTATTTTTAAGCCTAGCAATCCCATTAAAACTATATTCTAAATTCCACCAGCTCAGCTAGCAAGTTCAGCAAGTGGAGAGGTACCGGTTTAGACTTCTAATTTATGTTGTTAAATTGCATCAACGTGGGACCTGATTATTTGGCAGCTTGTCACCATTTATGTTGTTTTAGAATCATCAGGCATATTACAGGTTTCAGTAGAGTCTACATCGCTAGTTAAATTATATAAACAGCAGAGGAAAATCAATAAATATTGATAATTTACAAGCATTTTGAAATGAAAGGTTGGAATATCTTATTTTAATAAATCAGAGTGTCATGTTTTAAAGAATGTCAGGCATATGTCTTATGGTCTAAGATGACATTAATAATATATTTCTTATTCATGTTTAACATACATCACAACACATCTCACCATCACTCAATTTTTTAATGCTGGAAAAACAATAAATATGAAGAATCTTTAGCACACATCCTTTGCACTAGCTTCTTGGCTACCTCATGTTGTTTTATATCTGTATTTTATGGGAAGAGAATAATGATTTAAAGACAAAGTTAATATCAAACTATGTACAGAATATTTGGAATTTATTGATCTATGAGAAATAATAGCTATAATTGGTTGGTAGTATAACAAAGAAGAGAATAATATGCAGCTATAAAGAAATTATAAACCCAAATGTAAACTTCTAAATTGAAGAATAGATTCAATGGAAGGACTAAACAGAACAGTTCCATGAAGTCATATTGTAATGTGCAATTTGTTGTTAAAATATATTTCTTTTATAACTGGGAAAATGATATCGTTTTAATTCTTATTAAATATTGTAAAAACATCTCTTTTATGTCTCTGACAGGACAGAGCTGTCCTGTCAGAGCTGAAGAAGCTTCTTGGATGATAAGTGAAATGTCTTCAAAAGAAAAAACAAGAAAGTCCAGTTGCCTCCTGAAAAAGCACCTTTGGGACAACCATGACCTGAATGACTGAGAATCTCTACAATCTGGATCCTTATTTTACCGACCTGGGAAGGATGGAAGGCTGAATCAATCTGGAGTCCCATCATGATCAAACTCCAGACTATAGACAAAGTTTGTCTGCAATACTGCATTCTAACCATTGCGGTGCCAGGGCTCATTATAATTAAACATTCTGTCACTTGTTATGTTCTTCATATTTGAATACTTTGCCAAGGAGACTTCTTGAAAATCATTAAAACCTCATTTTCAGGCATTACATTTCTATTTATGCAACAATTCTGTTTTCTTAAGACACACATATTCATTCAAATAATTAATAACAATGCTTTAGTAGATATTTAAGATGAAGTATCAAATAAGTGTATTGAAAAGTCTTAGACAGGAATGTTAACGAAAGCTCATTTCTAACCAAATAAATTTATTTAATTCTAAGAACCATTATGGCTTCCTTCTTAATATATGTTTGGAATCAATATATTGGTCTGTTTATATTAACATTTCTTTTTTGGTCAGTCTTTGTAGGATTGCAATTGGGCATTTTCAACTTTTCTGCTCTGCCATCAGTTTATGTCCATCCCTCATTCTTTTACAAGGCTATTTCTTCCCCCTACCAAACTCATCAGCACTTGCTGAAAAAAGAAATACACAAAATGGGTCTGTATGTTTGTGTTCCAACTCTGGAAATATGTTTGCTTATGAATGCCCTAAGAGTCTTTATTTGCAGAACAATCAAACTCGTTGCTCAACATAAAATGGACCTTTTAAAATTACACATGCTGCAAGTATAATTACTGATTATTTTACACATGAGCTAAATATTGAAGCCTGAAACATTATGAACACTTACCTAGGGAAAATAGTTCTACTGATTCACTGAAAGTCATTTTCATTTAAAAATTCATCCATTGTTAACTAATTTGACGCTATTATTTCTAACACAAGTCATTTCATGAATTGAAACAGCTTATCCAGAGGATACAGGGGAAGCAAATAATAATTCAGAATAGCATCCTGACATAGTATCCTCCTGAGTCTTGACTAGAAAGGTGCTCCCATGGAATCAAATCAGGCTTATACACAGTAATTTACAAATAAACAAAAGAGTCCATCATATTTATTTGATACTGAGAGAACAACTTTTAGTTGGCAGGACCTTTGTACATAAACAATTACCTGACAGGAAGAAATTGATAGAAAATCTTGAAAAGGAAGACATGTTCTATAGAACAAAATAATGGGAAGAACTTGATCTTTTGTTAAAAGCAGTAGAAGATCCTTGAAAGAAAACATGAATAAATTTGAGAACACTTTTTATCTCTATTTGAAAGCCCTTTAACTGAGAGCTAGCAGCCTCTCTCACAAATAAGAACTTTGCAGCATATGCTCTCAAAGGCTAACAACTTATTCTTTTTTCTTTTCTATTGTATTCTTTGTCAGGCCAGAAATCTTTATGTTTGGCTAGTAGGAGAAAAAAAAAACCAGATTGGAAACTAATGGCTTTGAAATCTGCAGAACTGGAGGGAGTCAACAATTTTCTTTGTTCCTGAAGCAAAAGTGAAACGTGACACTAGTTACACCTACCCTGCACAAATGCATTCAAGTCCACAGTCTCCATCTTGAGGCTGTATTTGAACTGCAGATCTCACGGCTCTAACATTTGGCCTAACGCAGGATTTCTCCGGCGCTGGGTAGCACCTTACCCGATGAAGAGTATGGAGAGCTCAAAAGCTTGTCCCCCTCTCTGGTGTCATTTTGCCTTAGGCCAAATAAAGGAATTACCCAACTGTGCATGTTGAATGTTATGGCACCAGGCTGTTGTGAAGGTCTACACCCGCCCCGTTTCTTACAGTCAGCATAAGCTTGTTTATTTTATTTTTTTAAGCTATCCCGCGACTTTGGAGTCTTTAAATTCTCCCACGACCACGCCCCCGGCCCCTCTCAGCATCAGACCGCTCGCTCAAAGTAGGACCGAAAGCTCTACCGGCACCTGATGTAACCACCTAGAAACTTGGCAGGCGCTAGGACTCGGAGGAGCTCACGCAGGGGATGCAGGAACTGTAACCTAGGCAATTAACAACAGGCTGCTTTCTTCTACTTTCGCCCCCTCCCAGTTCCAGTTCGCCCTCCCTATTACCCAGGCGAAATTTCCCCCACCCCAAAAACATGCACACAAACCCACCAACTGTCAGCTTCTTGCCTGGCCGCTCCTCCACCGCTGCCACCCTTAGCCGCCGGTTCCTCCAGCTCACACGCCCCTAAACGCTGCCAGTCTCTTGTCTTACAAGAAGAAACGTTAATTCCTTTTAAACGATCGCTTTGGGGAGATTTAGATGCCATCCACCTCGCCGAGAAAACGCTGATCGTTACAACATTGTCTCATCTGTCAAGCCGGGTGGGGGCGTGGAGAGAGAGAGGAGGCATAACGCGCATTTGCACCTACACAACCCTGAGAAAAGATCAATAAAGTGGCGGAAAAAAAACGTGCCGATTGTCAGCCGCACGCCAGCTTCTAATAGGGGGAAGGGGGAGCGAGAGAAAAGACTGGGAATGAATGTTCGCCTTTGCTGTGGGGGGGAGTGGAGGTTCGCCAGAATCACAGGTTCTAAGGAGAACTACACCACGCATTTTCCTTCCCCAGAGCTTCTCTCTTCCATCCTTCCCACCCTCCCCCCGAAACAAAAGAAGGAGAAAGAGGGGAAAGAGAAACCGGCAAACAAACCAGGGGGCGGGAGAAGAGAGAAGAAAAACTGGAAAATGGGGCGGAGGGAAGAAAAAAAAATCTAGGAAGGGACAAACAAAGAAGGTAAGGAAGCGCTACGCTTTCATCTGCCAGACAGCCCCTGGCCACTTCTTATCCATCCAAGCCTGCAAAGGCTGCCTTGGGCCAAGGATGCTGCCTCTTGGCCAAAGCCTCTGGAGTCCCCAAAGTCACTAGTCCACAGTCTACTCCTGCCACCACAGAGCACAACGCTCAGCACCCAGTGCCACTGCAATGAAATGATGCTCGCCAACGTCATTCTCTTGGAAGACAATAATGAAAAAACAGAAGCTTTTAAAAAGAGCCACACTACTATACCTTACTGCAAATACAGAGAGAGAGAGAGATGGAGGGAGGAGAGGGAGAGAGAGAGATCTGGCTGCTGCCATCAATTAAAATGTTGATAATAATAAAGGGTTAAAGAGCTAGTTTGACTCCAGGAAATTACATCATTTATTTAATATAGGTAAAACAAATGGAAAATGAGCCTGCTTTTTAATAAGAGAACTTTGAGTCATCAGTGGAGAGAGAGAGAGAGAGAGAGAGAGAGAGATTCATATTTATAAACACTCAGAGATGTAAAAGGTCCAAGGGTTAGCCAGGAGCCTTACCTATCAGATATCATCCTAGAAGTATTAAGAAAAATCCTCAGCTAAACTGCACGACTTCATCAGGTTACTATGGAAATCCTCTTCAGGAAGATTAGAAACAAGCCACCTTTATCTTTCTCCCACAGCCACGAAGGATACTCATCCAAGCAGCCGGTGATCAGGAGTCAGAACAAGCCCAGACTCAGATGGATGGATGGATAGATGGATGGTTGTGCTCTGAGTGATGGAGTCACGCTGCCTGCCTGCTTTCCTCCCCCAGAGGACTCAGCAGGCGATCAGATCTTCTCCTTGCTGCCAGAGCCAGGAAGTAAAAGGACAATCTCACACCAGCAGCCCCAGCCCAATGCTTTGCAATAAGAGGAGCTGTTTCCTAGTCACACAACTGGAATTTAAAGGGGAAGCGCTTACCAGGGTCCCCCACTTATCTTTAAAAAAAATGAAATCAGTAGTAACAACAACTGGGGAAGTTCAGAAAAGAAACAGTTCAAAAAGGCTATAGATTATGAAGATAATATGTTTATCAATTAATATTCCATTTCAGGCTTTGTGAGCTAACCCTAACCCAGTGAATTGTTACACAGTAACACTCAGGGGATGGAAATGCAGCCTGCTGAGAATAAAACTATTGTTAAACTATAGTTTGACACATTATGTAAACAGAACCATTGTTTTAACCAAAACTCTAAAGAGTTGGCCTTTTGCATGTACTGTACACTAAAACAGGAAAAGAAGAGGAAGTATTTCTGTTGTTAATCTGTGTGGGGTTTTTTTCCTTAAATACAATGCTAAGGTTTGAAGGCCAAAAAGTATGGCCAGGAGAAAGGAAATATATAAGGAAGTCACACAAAACCTTTTTTTTTTAATGAGAAGTAAAGGGGAGAAAAACAGTAATATGCAGAATTTGCATATTTGAGATGAGCAGTACAGAATACTTGTTTGTAGAACTATAGCAGATGAAGCTGTTACTAGCATGGAGATCACTAGGTCAATTCTTTAGAGCAGTAAAAAATACATGCATGGAAAAGACACGGAGAGAAAAAAAAATTAAATAACAAGCCTATAAGCAGCACAATTTCTGAGCCAAGATTTCATGCTCTCTGTCCCTTTAAACTGGATCCTGAACATTGTTGTTTATAGCACTGACATAAAGAAATGCAAGATGAAAACTCTTTGGCATGCTTGTAAGGTAGTGTGAAACTGAGTTGAATGGTTCCATTTGTGCCATGTTTGCTTCATTATATAAAGTTTATGCCTTAGTGTGTTATGCAATTAAAGCTAGAAGAAATATTTCGGAAGCAGTTAGCTGAAGGGGATGAAGTAGTAATAATCAAAAACAGAGCTGAGAACTTTTGGTGCAGTCTTATCCAACCAGATATATTGGATAACTCCCATCATAGTGCCAGAAGCGATGGGATTTATAATCCTGAAGAAGACCAGATTAGAGAAGGGTGACTGGAGGTCTATTTTTTCTGTTCCTTTTTTATTTGTTCTTCATTCATGGCAGGAAGGAACTATTTCCTCAAGCTATTAGTTCCACATGTGTTAGAACTTCAATCCTCACAAAATCAGCATTGTCAATGGACATCTGAAGAAGACAAACAAGTTGGAAAGGATGAACTATTATGTCTTTACTCTTGATTGACTTTCATGTGGTTAATTTTTTTAATTAGTATGCATGTTTATGATTGTGGGCTTGATTATTGAGTTTGATTATAAATTATTGTTTTGTCAAGCTCACATGAAATTCATTTTTTCTAAACGTGAGAATGGAAAAAAAGACATCTGAAGACTAAAATAGCTATCTTTTTGCAAAAAAAAATTCCTATGATAATTAGAGTTGTAATAAGATTGCCAACAGATCAAAATTAACGCCGCCAACAGATCGATTAAGTGTTCTTATGAACTATGAATTGAGAAATAATCTGACAAAACCTGTTTAAATCACGAAGACAGTGGTTTCAGAAGACGCTGTGGTTAAATTAACATATACACAAGTAGGCATGTGTGAGAAGTCTTATGAATGATGTTTGCAGTTCTGATTCTACTAATTTCATGATGAATATGATTTCTTAAAATGATAGGAAGGGGGGGGTTCCAGTATGACTTTATTGAACAGGCAGATTCAATTCTGGGAAAGTGACACTTAATGTATATTGTTTTAGTTGGAAATAAAGCTAATACTGGTAGCTTTATTTCCAACTAAAACAATATACATTAAGTGTCACTTTCCCAGAATTGAATCTGCCTGTTCAATAAAGTCATACTGGAACTCTTCCCTCCCTTTTGTCAGACTGGCCACAGCTTACTCCCTAGGAAAAAACGACCCTTGACTCCATAGGTGTTAGAGAAAAGGTACTTTTAGTAGAGATACTGAGTGCAGTGTAGCGAGGCAAGCTCTGAAAAAAACCATGCGAAAATCATATATTGAAAGCAATCCCCAATGTCCAAAATCCTCCCCCCGTGAGAGTATTTCAATCAGGTTCATTTCCAACGTTTTGGGAAAGCAGAGCCTCAGCGCCGCTGTAAATTCCTTTCCCAGGACCAGCATCCTTGAAAGCAGGAAGATGGCTCAGTCTGGCACCTCTGGTTTTGTTACTGTCCATAATCCTCAATTTTCCACAGTATTCTTTCACATCTTCAGCATGCTTCCCTTCCCAAATTTCCCTAGTTATGGAAGTTGCTAGTGAGCTTCAAAGAAAGCAAAGATGGGCAGCTGACACCTTCCTTCCTTCCTGATGACATATCTTTCTTTGTGGTGGCACCACATTTTGGATTGCTTTCCCACCAGAGGTGCATAAAGTTCCCTCACTTATGGTTTTTTAAAAAGATCTTCAAGCCTAGCTAGGTTTATTAGTGACATTTTGGAGGAAGGTTGATTTTTTGCTACCATAATTGATTGCTTCTGTTTCTTTCTCTACAACATGATTTATGGGTATTGTTGCTATTACATTTAAGGTGTTATAACCTACCCAGAACCTTTGATCTCATTAATTAAAAATTGCAAAATAAATTAATATAATATGTAGGCAGTTTGATGGGATCTTAAAAGTATGTTTTATCTGCACATGTATATGCAAAATATATTGGTTGTGAGTTATCCTACAATGAAAATAACAATTTCAAAAGACTGATTTTCTCCAGAACAATAGCAGGGAGAGGAATGATATGAATCACTTTTACTCAGATTTCCCCAATATGGTGCCTTCCAGATATGTTTGGCTACAGTTATCATAACCTTCTAGCTAGTGTGGCCAAACAAAATAGTAATCTAACAATCCTTTGCAGCAACTCCTGCCTTGGGGAATGCCAATCAATTTGATGCAAAGTATTTTGGAGGAAAAAAACCTTCTATGGGTAATGCAAGAACACAATATTTTCTCTAGTTTGGTGCTAAAGGGGAAAGATTTTTCACAAGTCTCTTGTTATATAAATATACCTTATATTTTGCATTAGTCCAAATCAAATATGTAATCACCAGTACAGTAGAGGTTAGAGCTAAGTAACACCGGAGCTATTCCTTAATTATCCTGATTGTGACAACAGGATAGTTAAAAATCATTAGGGGAAACTAATCTATGGTAAATGATCTAAAGCAGCCTTGTTCAAAAATAAATAGCTTCCTTACTTATGGACATATTTTTCCACTAATAATATAGATATACATATTTCTATAATATAGTAAATACAATGTTATTGAGCTATTATTGAATATTTGTAATCATCAGGTTTTTTAAAATTACTTATTTAAGCTTCTATTTCATTTCTGCCCAATGAATGAATGATAGCTATTGGAGTCTACAACATTATTTTCACAAGTACTATTGTTTCTTCTACCATTCTCTCAAACGTTTATCCAGCCAAGATTTGTAATGGGATTAACTCTTCAGTAAGTAATTCTTTTCTTTCTATATATAAAATATTAAATGAACGATATGGATTTCTGTTAGATGAATAATGTACTTCTAAAACATTTTAAAATAAAAAGATGCTACAAAAGCAGGCAGTTTTGATTTAAAGTTTATTCTTCTAAGAAGAAAAATTACCTAACAGAACAGGGCAAAGCACATTTCCAGGTTCTCCTGAGACATTTGTAAATCAACTGTACAAACTTCTGAATAGGAAAATATTAGGCAGATTTTACAATGTGTGTCTTTCCCATGAGATAAAAACTGCAAATATTTCATGCAAAGTAGGAATTTATTTACATGGCTATAGTGTCATGCAACATTTTGGGCAAGTAAGAATGATATTTTAATTTAAAATTTTAGTACTTTTCTGGGATATTTAAAAAAGCAGACGCATCATCGACAATATAAACTTGTGTAAGTCGAATGGCAAAACAAAGAAAACCTTACAATTACAAAATAATAAATCTGTCCCAGTGGAGAAGATACAGTCAACTCAATTGAAATGACATCATTGTGGTTTAACATGTGACCTTCTACTCAAATCCTAGAGGAACAAATCACAAAGCATAAAAGCAAAATTAGCATTTCTTTCCATATATATTAATCCATCCCTTCCTAAATTATGAAAATCATGATTTCAAACAAAATCTGAAATGAAAACAGCAACTAGGAAAGTAAAAACATCCTTAGTCACCACTGCAATTAAACTGAGTGCAGAAGAGGAAATGCAGAAATGGGATAAATGATATAATTAGAAATATTTTTCTTACACTATGGATTTCCTGATGACACGGAAGTCTTTTTTTTTAATGTGTATTATCTAAACAACATCATGTCTTCGATCTGATTCTTAAAACATATTTACTATAAAATTATACTGATGTCAGTTAATCTAACCTCTACATAAATGCATTTGTAGTACAGCATACATGAATAAAGGGATTATTTCTTTCTGCATTGCCTGCCACCGTTAGAGCATGGAAATGCAAAACAGGAATCCTTAGAGGAAAAAAGACTAAGTCAACCCTCCTCAGTGTATCATTCCTGCTGCTATACCAAATACTTATCAACTGGAATCTTCAAGCCACTCTCTTTGGAAGGATTTTACCTGGGAAAAGTGGGATTCTTTGATACAATAGTTTAAAGGCATAAGGTTCAGGTCTATAAATATTTTCTTCCAATGCAAGAGCTTAGTATTACCCTCACTTCTCTGTGATTGTTCCTGTGTGGTATATACTGAATCTGAGATCTTGTATAGACTAGCAATCACCTGTGCAAGGCTCACTGTGGATGTTTTTTGGACTGTGAGTATGGTAGTAGTGATTTATTATGCTTGTCATTTGCAATTCCATCAGTTCCAAAGCTCTAAGATTATTCAATATATGTTCACACTAAGCTCACTTGGCA